TATATTTGATAAACATGATCCGGCTTAAGCTAATTGAAACATTCTGCTGTTTGCTTTGTTTATTTTCAAATTACACATTTTATAAATTGCACATAGCAACCAGTAGTTGCACTGTATATACGTTAGGAACAGTAACGATCTTCACAAATTGGATCTCAATTTTAATCATTTAATCTAATCGCTTATCGTTTATTATAAACATTGAGGTGACACTAAATGAAGTTGACAAGATTAGAAATACGGTCATTTCAATTTAAAGCCAGTTTAAATACGAATCAGATTAATTATAAAAACTGTAATTCGTTTACTTTATCAACTCTTGCTCTTATTTCATACAGTACAATGTTAAGCAATCAAGATAAATTTAAACTGGATTATATTTAAATCCGGATTATAATTTAATCCGATTTAATCATATCTGTTTATCTTATCAAATATTTATGTACAATAATATTCCTGCTCTGTAATTATACACTCAAAAAAATAAACTAGAATTTTATTTGCAATAGGAGGAATATATTGAAAAAAAATATACTTCAAAGAACGTCAAATAGATTGGAGACTGAACAAAATATTAATAAGCATAGTTTTTATTCCCTTTTGATGATAGAAAAAAAATGTCTACTATGTCAAAGCGTATTTTAATTCTTTAATACTATAGAAATTTATGGGATTCTTTTAGAAAAAAGTATCAACATTTTTTTGTCGAATTAAACGAATTTGTATTCAAGATGAGATGAATAGGAACGAAAATTTATGTTATTTTTTTGTAGACAAGAATTGGACATGAAAGAAAAATAAAACGAAAGACAGTAAAAATCGATTTATAACGGACCGGTATAAATTGAACATCTGGTGTATATAACGCGTGCATACAACCATTACGAGCACGTGCGTTAAGTTAAGTATTTGACTGGAAGGTATAAATTAATGGCTGTGCCAGGTTAAAACAAAGAAACCCACATTTCAAGTGGCGTGGTAATGCCTGTTTACACAGCACAAACCTACAAGCTGTATTAGTCTACACAAATTAAATATCAGCAGAAAATTTCAGTCTGGAAAATCTGAAATATTCCCTCAAATTGAATTTGAGTCGTGTGGACAAAATTTGTCATTTAACAAAGAAATTTAACAAGATATAGGTCATAGATGTGCAATTATTTTTCTTTTAATACAAAAATGGTTATTATTCCATCGGAGCAAAACAGCAGGATGTAAAATTCCATTTCGTGTTAATTTTCTCTCTTTAAAAAAAATGCGGTGTCTTTTCTTATACGGTCTTATATAAAGACCCACAGACGTCTTATACGAAATTTGAATGGTGCTTTATCATCAATGCTATTAGTGTTCCCGATAGACATAAAATCAAAATCTTTACGATATTTCAAATAATGTTTGAATACTGCCATGCAACAGAAAAAATACTTTCATTGTTCTCGCTAAAAGTTGTGATTGAAATCAAACTTAAGAGAAAATTGGTGCATATCGATCGACGCGCTTTGGGATATATATTTAATGAATTGGTTAAGACAAAGAAAACCAGATTTCAGGTGTAACGCGGACACCTGGTAGTAAAATCTTAATAGAATCAATTTAGACGAAATAAAATACTAGATTATTAATAATTTTATGCCTTGTTTAGTGTTTTTTCAACAATTATTTCTATGGTGTCACATTTTTGACTTGCGATGATTTTTCAAGTTTTATGAAGCCGGGCGCGTGAGTGGCTTTGACAGCGAGTCATTCGCATTGAAAATTTCGATACAACGCTATTCATGTGAAAGGTTTTATTCGTTTAATTATAACTTGAACTCGACACATAATGGAATATGCATATTGTTTAATATTAGCTATGGTTACATTAGAAATCAGAAAAGATTTTGTAAACAGATTTCTATACAGGTAAAGAAAATCAACATACAGAATTTCCCCTAGCACAGTTAGGTGCAATCCTACATGCCTTGATGAATTTTGCACTTGCTCGTTAACCCCACAGTATGGTTCAGTATTTTGGAATTCGACAAGCAGTTCAGGCATAACAAGTTATGCGCTGGTCAAAGTCTGTTCGAAATGCAACAGGCGAGTTGTTTCCTTCTCGTCAAAATGTCCCTCACTGCCCACTGTCTCGACCTTCCTAAGTCGATTTTAAATTTAACTAAAATTTTGAAGTATCAACTAACTTTAAGAAACCTTTCGTTTATAGCAAGAAATCTTCAAAGGTAGAATCTTCTGTTTTTAGAAATCAGTTTGGTTGTATGTCACAAACGATCAAACGAATATCTGTGAAAAATATACTACAGTTTGCATTCCTGAATGATAGATTGAAACAAACAGCTGATACTACAATGCAACAAACATTATAGCACTTTCAAGACCATTTCAATCTTCTTGAATTCCTTAAGAAATGTCTTAAATTTATATAATATATTTAATAAGTAAGTGGTGAAATAATGCTCAATTACCTCGAGTTGGGTTTGAATTTATACACGATGTTTTAGAATATTGATTAAAATATCTCAACTCAAAACGAAAAAAAATTGTATTGGAATCGAGATCAATTCAAAACTGATATCGTTTCTATCCAAGAATTCACTACGAGAACAGTCTTTTTTTATAAAAAAAAATAGCAAAAGGGTCTAATGACCTAAAAAACCCCGGGTTGAAAAGAGTCATTACGCGATTTAAAAAGCTCTGCTTGATACGAAAAAAGACACAGCGAAACATCTTGAATTCAAGCGAAAAATGTCTAGAATAATTTAAATCAATTTGTCTATCAAGTGAAATAGGCTGTATAATAAGAATTAGTGTCTATTCAACTGTAATTGCACTTCCTAAAGATATGTCAAATAAATCATTGAATAGCTAGTTAGCCTTAAGATGACGACCATAGAACTAACACGACGCTGCAAAACCATCAAACAATATAAGTAAGAGCCGAGAAATTGCTCTTAAGTTTTGGTTTTGACTACATTTGAGATTTACCCCCCACGATTAACCACTTCAACACTCGTCCCCGGGTCTGTAATATTGGGTAATTTGTCCTCGTCTAGGGACGGTCTATCTATGTATAAGATACGTTAATTATATTCCCCACTGTGTTACATACATCTGTTAACAAACCATGCTCTAAATCGATAGACTTTACAATTTCAATTACATCTACATTAAACATTGATTCAGTTTCTTATTACGAAAAATTGACTGTTTATTCAACTTCGTGTATTCTATTACGATTTGCACAAATGAATTGCATCTAAATGACTTGAGTTTGACTACTGATTACTGATGTTCATGCTGCCGCATCGATATCGTTTGATATTCTACCGACTCTGTAAAATGAAATTCAGTTTTCGGTTAATGAATACGAGTAACAACATGCATAGACATTTTGCCAGGACAGTAGCATAAGCTTAGTCGCTTTTGGTTTTAAACTGTCGAGAAATCTTCATTAAAAATTTCCCGTGAAACACACCACGGGGATTTGATATACTTCTTCGAGTATTGGCAAGCATAGTCACAAACCTGAATTGCAATAGCCGATTCAATGTCGAATTTGAACTGTCGAAAAAACTTCATCTGAATTTCCCGTGACACATGGGGTTATACATCTTCGAGTATTGGCATGCACAGACATTTGCTAGGATAGACGCATTAACCGATTCTCATTCGATATTCAACTGTATTTGTCATCTGACATTGGCTATGACACATACAGCCTTGATATGCTTCTTTGGAAATCATATATGAAAATAGAGCTAGTTTGAACATGTCAGTGTAAGAAAACCCGCCACTGGCACAAGTGACTTAACATGTTCATTATCGGTTATGTCGAGTCATAATGGTAATATTGATTAGCAACGACTACACACATGATGTGTCGCATGAATCAAATAAAATGATATGGATATTCACGTTCAAATTCTCAATAACGAAAAGTATAGGCGTAGGAAACAAATATTATCCATTCGGGCAGACAAGTAGTGTTTTTGGGTGATGTCTAAAAATGATTACGCTCTGAAAGTAAATCCGCCGAAATATTTTCGGGAAAACCAGCCCCAGTATCGTGTATGATATGATATTGCTGAATTCTCGGGGATGGTATCATTGGAAGACAAGACAAAATGATGCACTGAGAACATGACTTCACGTCCTTGTGGTAAAATGGCATTTCAAGAATATGGTGCAAAATGTATTTTCAAATTTCCATGCTACCCGAAGTCAAATTTTTTCATCGTCAGTCTGAACTGTAGGAATAGCAAGTACACACATACAAACTGCATCACTAAATATCAACACCCGTGAAAGATTCTGGTTGCATCGTAAAGCATAGTTACCTCCCTTGACTCTTTGTTTACGGAAGTCGTTCGACTCGTGATTTGTTGACCTATATTACTTGTATTGATTATATACTATATACTCTATGTTTAAGCTGGAAATACTCTAGCAACACATAGCATTATAATTCAAACGTATATAGTACTTTGACGGATAGCTGAAGATTATTTGGTATAATATGATGGCACAAGACCAATTTTAACATTGATGCGCAGTATATTATATCACCACGAGGTCGGATGTTTTTGTCGCCTGATCAAACATGTCGATATATGAAGTATGGTGCTCTATCAAGGGCACAAGACTTTGCCATTAAGCGGGAATATTTTATGTAAGAGGTCCCCTATTCAAGCCTCATCTCGTAATTTCATTTCCCTAACAAGTTTTGGTGGAAAAATCGTTCATGTTAATACAGGAACTATCAGTTTCGACTAAAATTTTACCCGCTCCCTGAACAAGCTGTAGCGTGCGTTCGATGGTTTACAACTGACATTTCGATCAACCAATCAAAAGACCGTACTATTATTTACTAACGCCCAGTAATCTTGACGTAGTCCGGGCGGGAGATTTCACAACTAATCAACGGTCTTGATTTAGACCACGTGATATCGTTAGCCTAATAAATGCTCCAATCGATAATTTAAAGGTCATAATAAGCGTGTGTACTGTGAGAGTAGCTGTGTGTTGTAAATTCACTAAATTTGGATATGTCTACCAATATAGTTGCCTCATCAGAAAGAAGCATGAAATCAAAGGCTCGTCGTTGTTTATTTGGTCCTGTGGATCACGAAGTGGTTAGGAAGGATTTGGATTCTATGATAAAGGATACATCTGCGGATTACGAGGACTGGGGTTTTAATATGTCTACGGATAAGCCGAAACAAGGTGGAAGGTGCGAGTGGTATAAAGTAGATACAGATCTAGAGTACGTACCGGAATTCTATCGTAAAGGATATACGAGTCGACAACCACCAACACCCCGTAAAATTAACATCCCAAGACCGACAAATGTTAACGTTAAAAAATCGACTGTTGTGAGACAATTAGACATTTCATTTAAAAATTCTTCTAACGTGCCAGAAACCTCAGACAATTCCAGTACTTCCATATTACCGTCTACAGTACCATCTTTCACGTTCTCGACCTCTAATCCACCCAGTACCCCAACCCGTACACCATCACGTAGTAGACGTAGTAGAAACGAAACGCCGTCATCGCAATCAAGAATATCTGGTAAGTAGTGCATGACTTTATTATTTAGTTCTTCAAGTCCTTACAGGTTATACAGCACAAGTGATGTAGAACTTGTGGTTTTAATGGGCGTCACAAGGTTCTCATCGTAAATCCTCTTATTTTTGGCATATATTCAACTGAGTGTCCACCCAAAAACACCCGAATGTACCGCGAATGGTTTCGAAAACAACGTGTTCAATACGTACGAGATTGGACTTGAATAGATTTCAAAATAAGGTTTAGAAACCCCGCCATTCATTGCAGACGACCAACGTGTTCTAACATGTTCAATCAGTAGACTATTATTGAATTGATCGTTTGCCAAAAGTAGTTTATTGTTATCTCATTCAGGATAAACTTTACACTTATCCTATTATTAACATAGACGATCAATTCTATTCATAATTCTACGTTTGTCTATTCTTAGGATCAGCCTTATATCTCTGTATATGACGCATCTTTGTAATTACCAAAATCTTGTCGATTTCCTTAGAACATGGGAACATATATTAGCAAACATTTTGACAAAATTGATATTTAATTCCATATTTGAAAAGAGGATATTACAAAACCATCCATAAGCAGAATGCAAAAATGAAATTTCGTCACCATCTTAAAAATTTAATTTTTCAATTTTTCAGATTTCATGAACATCAGAAAGAGAAGAAATGATGGTGAATCTTCAAGCCAAAGAAAATTACCCAGATTATAAATTATTATCCCGTTATTTATTTTATATTATTTATAAAGGTGAGAATTATTTTTTATTTCGAGCTCAAATAGAGTATACGAGTCTATATCATACAGCATCTATTGAATATAACCTAATTGGAACACCATAGCGTTACCTCTTAAAACTCGATCGGTCACTCCACGCTACAGCCACGTATTGTATATCTTCTCATCTTCAACCGACGCTATGACCACTAGGCCATGTCCACTCTAACACAGACAATAGCTATAATATATTAAACTGCTGTATCTGCATTTCTATTTGCGTTTCGTTTAATCCTTAAATTTTAATAAAAATTTTGACTTTTGCCTCAGTTTAGGAAAATTATGACGTTTGTGAAAACTGATTTAAATATTTGCGTTAGAAAACTCATTTGGTTTTAATGTCTAAGATACAAAGCAAAATTAGATTATATCTAGACTGAATTTGCCTTTTGTAATTTAGAAAGTATTTCTTTTCACAGTGACTTTATTAGTTGATAGCTTTGAAAATACTAGACTTTGGTAATTGTACTCGTGGGATCATATTTCACGCAATTAATATTTTTTGAAATTTCCCATTAATTTTCATATAATGTGGTTTGATAATGTAACTTGACACTATTAATGCGTTTGATCGACTGAATTGTTTCGTTGGTTTCTAGGTAATAATAAAAATAGAGTTACTCATTCGGCTCATATCATCACTTCCAACAAACCACAAATTGCTACAAGTTTCTTTGTTTACGTCGCTTAGAGATAAAATAAACGTAGAAATGACTGGTCTGCCTATCTCTATTCTATTACTAAACTCACAAAAGCAGATTCTTGAACATGATCGGAAATCAATTTCAAATAATTTCTAATGCCAAGATTTGACTAAGGATTTCCAACCGAGTTCAAAGAACGTCTTTCTTTTAACCACAAATCCCAACTACAAACTATTCTGGGTATTTTTGTGCCAACATCTGGTCATGGCCCCAACGTTTCTCATCTTCTTTGTTTTGGCTGATGCCAAGGGTACATGTGTTCGTGAGAGGATTCGTTATTAATTACATTTTAATTACTCTGTCGTTGCTAGGTTTCAAAACATCATTAAAATTTACAAAGTAGTGGAAGATTTTGTATAGATAGTTCATCAAATCATTGCGGACATTAATTTGCTATTCCGTGAAAATCCCATCCTTATAAATAATTTCGACTTTGATAGGCGTGGACTTCGTCCGAAAGTTGTAGATATTTCGGTGAAAGAGGAGAAATGCTACACGTGGGGTTAAAACACATTTGGTCAACGAAGAAAGAAATTGGCCAAGAATGGCCTTGGAATATAATTGGGCGTTGTTCCCTTGTATAACATATTCATGGGCGAACGTAAATAAGTTGTTTACTATGGAAATTGAACTAGAAATTTAAAGGGTTAACAGAGTATTTTGATAGTATTTTGTGCGTAGAGAAAATTAGGTGAGTGCCTGGATGGCAACTCATTTGCATAAAGCTCGACCTAAATGATATGGGTAGATAGCCCGAAGCCGTATCACGTAGCCGACCTTCACTGCCTCAATTTGGCTGCTTTACCACGTTGTCACGTGCAGTATGCTAAAAATAACTTCCATCTTGGCGTGGTTTCTCTACACGTGTTGTGATTGGCTGGGTCGCTCAGAATCTCACGAGTTCAAAGGTCATAGTTAATGTTTAGGGTCAGCCTATTGTTGTGAGTCAGAAAGACGCTTGTCTTGTGTATTTTGATCTTCTATACGATACGTTTACTAAATAGCTACCTATTAAGTTATTATTTCTATCTTTCTATTCTAAATATACAATGAACCATATAGTTAAAGATATTTCTTTTGTCTCTTTTAGTGCTATGGAATGGAAGTTGGGGTAGAAAGTTTGGCGACAAAGAAGAAATACTAAATAACAGTGCAGCAGAAAATATAAAAATGTTGCAGACGACACTGTTTCAAGCTCGTGCAATAGCCAACAGATAAACTAGTCATATATCAAATATACGTAATGTTGGTCAAATATGGTTTCTAAATAGACATTAAACCAACTCCCTGTAAGACTGTGCACTTTATCCAACTTCCATGATCTAAATGTGATATTTTAAGTCGATAACAAAAACTACGACTTTGACTTAGTAAAAACTTTTTGTTTGTGAAAATATTCGACGCTGGCCGAGCCTGGCCAGGTATTGAAGAACATTGTTGATCTCGTTGTGTGTTCGTTCCACTGTGTGAATATGGTTTATAATTGTTGTTATTTTTCATTCCGGAAATGACTGTTGTTTTGATAAACTATTTGGTTTTGCTATTTTGCTTCTGAGAGAACTGATGAAATTTTTGATGAAAACGGATTAAGGGTTAAAAATTAAGAAGCAATTTGATTGGTTGTATCATGATTCATAACTGCCAGTGGATATTTATTTCTTGATGCTATGTCAGGGTAAAAACGTTTGCCTTCCATACTAGCCAATGAATTTCCAAAAGACCACATTGAACTATGAGGTCACGTAAACGATCTTCCAAGATTTTGCATGGCATAGCATCAAGTTTTCTTATGGCATTAACAGTCGCATTTTTCACACTTTCATTACATGTATTTGCATTCAAATAATACATAAGAGGTGGATTTGGCATAAGCTGCAAGATTTCCAAGGCGAAAATTGTTACTTCACGAAAAATATATCATTTAAAAAAAGCTCAGATTGTTGCAGCTTCTCAAATCCTTCTTATACTAGATTAAGTGCAATCATTTAATTGCAATATCAAATCATCAAATTCACAAAATCATGTTTTCTTATCCATCAGGAGTTGCAAAGTTTAATATTATATGTATGCCCCTCCCCCTTTCAAACCCAAATTGTATCATAGTCTCCTGTCGAACTGTATATAACACTAATTTATTATCATGTATACCTAATATTAAAAGGAGAAAGTATAACATTAATTTATGGCCTTTATGGTGCACCTTATATTTGTTTCTATTAACAGCACTCTTGTTCTATCATATCTTTTGTTCTGTATTTCTGCCTTTTTTCACTATTTTTTTTAATTTCATTTCATTGTATGTTTTAACTTTTGAATCAGTTTCGAATTTTTTCTGTTAATTCTTAATTGTCTTGATTTTCCTTTTGGTGTATTTCTTTTAATTTTGTTTAAATTTGTTTTTGGGTTATGTGCAATGACGAACCTTGTATGTTATGGTATTACAAAATGTTGACACACAAAGGAAAATGTATGGCGGCATATCTCGAAAAATACTTGACAGATACTCTTGTAAACGAAAATTTTCCTTAGAAAAAAACCATGTTTTGAATGAAATCAAAAGAAGTAGTATTCTGTCAAACGTATTTTTGGGAGATCTGTCGTCTATATCCCTGTGTATAATGGATTAAACGGGGTTTAAAATGATCTCTTTTAAGAATTGCAGAATTCGTTTTATATCTTACAATTTCCAAATTGTTAAATGATATTTATTTCAAATTGATTCAAAAATTACAAATAATGATTGCCTTGTTAAAGGAACTGCTTACATATGTTATTATAAATATAATGTCATTTTGGCATAATGAAAATATTAAAATGGAGTAATAAATTCATGATTTAATTACATAAAACTTTGTTGTAATGATATTTATCAAACACTCGATATGGAAAGAAAACCTCCCTGGAAAGAGCATTCAAACACAATGTACAAACGAATCTGTACACTACTTTCCATGTATAGATTTATACATCATCTAGAGAGGAAAGACGCTATATATTGTCTACTGAGTAAAGATATTGTACATTATGTGCTGAGTAAAGACATTGTACTTTTTCTCTGAGTCAGGACCTTGTTCATTTGCTACTGAGTGAAGACCCTCAGTTACCCACCAAGTTTATAGTCATCTACCTATGGAAACGATCTGCATGGTATCTACTAAGTAAAGTTCTTGTACATTATTTACTAAGCAAAAACATAGTACATGTAAATTATCTACTGAGTAAAGATAGTGTATCGAGTAAACAGCCAATGTATTAGCTAATGAGTTAATACTCAATACAGACTTAAAATCATGGATCTAGAGAGCAAGTATCATGATATTATATTATCTACTATTTTGTACCTTGTATTAAGCAAGTACCCTGTATAATATCTACCGAGTCAAGATACTACAGCACATTGTCTGCCGAGTCAAGATACTACGCATTATCTACTGAGAAAATTGACAGTACATTATCTACTGAGTAAATTGACAGTACATTATCTACTGAGTAAAGATATTGTACATAGTCTACTGAGTAAAGACAGTACATTATGTACTGAGTAAAGTTATTGTACATTACCTACTGAGGAAACACATTGTGCATTATCTACCGAGTAAAGACTTCACATTCTCTACTGAGAAAAATAACTGTAAAGTATCTACTGAGTAAAGTTATTGTACAGTATCTACTGAGTAAAGACAGTACATTATCTACTGAGTAAAGTCTTTACATTCTCTACTGAGAAAAATAACTGTACATAACAGTATCTACTGAGTTATATTAATGTCTAATTTTATATCTACTTCATATATACGTTGTAAAAACTGTTTCACCTCTATCGAATGTTTTCATTTTATCTTGCATTATCATCTTGTGGATACACTTAAGCACAAAGTTAATCCAAGTCAACAACAATAAAGCTTTCTATCGAATACAGCAAAAGATCAAAGGATTGTTTATGATATTAATTGGAGAACTGCGACTAAAATTTAAGTAGAGTTGTCTAATTTTTAAGTGATTATGCCCGCTTTTGAATAAACTATGAGGAAACTGTTTGTTTGAAATGTTGAATTCTAACATTTTTAAGCCTTGTAATGTTTTAATTACTTCCTGATTACAAATTAATAAACAAAATTGTTCATGCTTCCTCCTGAAAATTATATCAGAGTATGTCGTATGCATTTAAATTGAAATGATATTTTCATTTAACAGTACAGTAGTATGCTATTTCAATTATTATGACTAATGGTGTCAACACAAAGCGTTTGAAAGCATTTGAACAATTTACATTAAATACCTTTCTCACACCATATAGCATTCCTTTTATTGACACGTTACACAATATTCTCATCAACGTTTTCATCATTACACTGCCATAACTACCATTTTATAGGACCTTATCTTTATATAATGATAACAGAAGGAAGCTGGCGATGGTGATCGAGACATACATTTCAGGTCCAAAGATATAAGGCTAATCTAATTTCGCTGTCCATTTCCCAACGGATTCTTGTGATGGTAGAACCAAGAATTGTTCAAGCCGGTTCCTGCCACTGATGTATAGTCAATCGATTAGATGGGAAATTAAAACGAGGAATCTCTAATCTTGTATTTGCATTGTACACTACATGGCGTTGGTCGTCGCCATTTGACCAATCTATCAGAAACAAAAGAATTAGACTCAAAGCACATTTTCTAAGACGTAAGAACGTCCTTTTAAGACTAGTTAACACCTTCAGACTGATGTAATTCTACGGCACAAGTATTTGATTTCTAAGAAGAAAATGGAATAGTTTTTGTCTAAAACAGACACATACAAGTTACATACATGCAATAGCTGTGGATTTGATTTAACCCAAATGTATATAAAAAAAGAGACAATTCCTTATATAGCTACACTTCAGTATATAAAGAAGACGGTTTCCACATCACTTTTTCTTTGAAGTTTTTATCAACATGAAACATCACAGGACCTATAACCTGTAATTTTTTCCTTACACGAGATGAACACCTCCGCATATAAACTACACGACTACTTCAAAGTCTTAATAATTTCAAGATTATAAATCTGGACAAATGCCCATATTGAAGTTTGGAAAGACACGTTGGCTGCCAAAATAAACTTTTCGTGATAAATCATTTCTGGTCACAAAGTTTATGGAGAATAATATTGAGTGATATTCATCGTTTAACTGCATCAACATTGGTCTTTTCAATTATTAGAAAGGTCTATTTTTATAGTTTGGGTAAGGTTTTGCTGGGTGCTGTCAGGTTGCTCGTTTCAAGAATCCCTTTCTTGACTCCTTTCAATATATTCCAATTTTGGTATAAAGTGCATGTGCCCGTAACCATGCTTTAAATCATTTCCCTTTTTCATGGCTCTAGTAAACAGGACTGTTGGCTCCCAATCACTAAGGGCACTATCTTGTCATTTCCACGTGGCAAACACTAAAGGAAGGAGTTGATTTGGATGTTCTTACTCATGGTAGTCAATAAAAATGAAAAAAAGGGTTCATTTTAGATTTATATGGTGTACAATATGGTGGACCTGCATGCTCTCCTGGTCTTTTTTCCGGGATGGGGACTCCCTTACGGACTCTTGGACATGGTTCTACAAGTCCCCATGGTAGTTGAGCCACTGAAACAAGACCCTCTCATCATCTTTTATTAATGTATTTAATTCATGTCCCCTGCTCCCAACCTGGGATGTTTTCGCTGGCGACTAGGGTGTCAGGGGTGTGGCCAACTATTGTAGAATAAAAATTTGTTTTGAATGGAGAGAGCACCTCACATCATCACATACTGGAAATGTAGATGAAACAAATTTTTGGGGATGTGAAAGGTGTTTGCTCCAAGGGTGTGAAGGGTGAAAAAGGTTGGGACCACTGATCTATGTTATCTGTATGGACAACATTGATGAAAACCAACAATCTCAAGAATATTTCGTAACACGACGTTAAACGGTTATAAATAGAAGATCCATTCATCCTCTTTGGCTACATACTTGTTTTAAAAAATCTAAATTGAATTACATTATATAGGCGAATTGTTTTATAAAGACCAAATAATACGACATTTCTGAAAGGAGACCAACAATCTGAAGAATATATTTAGAAACACGGTGTTGTATCAGCTTGGTGAGTCACCACCGACATGTCAACAGAAGGTCGTGATAACATCTACATAATTCACCTTTTCTGGCAATATCATCGTCTTACACCTGTATACTTCAATATAATCAACATTACTCAGCAAACGTCGTTGTTTCGTGAAATTCAAGGTTTAAGCATAGCGGGACAAAGTCTGGGCACTTGCTTCATGATTTGTATTGAGGCAAGTATGAGCAACATAGAATTGACAGATAAATCAAACGTTTTTTATTCATAATTCAATGTGTAGGAAATCGTTTGTCGATCAACGCGACTATTGTACCGGAAATGAAAGGAGCAACAAAATACGCAGGTACGCATAGTAAAACAAATTTGGCAAGGACATTTTTCACTAACGAATGGTATTGGAAGACTAAACAGACACAATAATGATTACTATTGGATATTGCTTCAGCAAGTTCGATTTTGAAACAGAAGCACTAGCTTGCGTACATATACTGAATTTACTGAATTCGTTAAAACGTACATATACCGAATTGACTGAATTTGTTAAAGATTGCGTACATATACTGAATTTGTTAAAGCTTGTGTACATGTACCGAATTAACTGAATTTGTTAAAGCTTACGTACATATTCTGAATTTACTGAATTTGTTAAAATTTTGCGTACATGTTCTGAATTTATCGAATTTGTTAAAGCTTGCGCACATACACTGTATACTGAATTTACTGAATTTGTTAAAGCTTGTGTACATATCCTGAATTTACTGAATTTGTAAAAGGTTGCGCACATATACTGAATTTTGTAGAAAAATCTCATTGGAAAAGGGGAAATGTTTAAGAAATACTTAGACTCTTTCAAGGAGTAATTTACCGTATTTAAGATGTCTTATGAAGCACAAATGTAGCTAAAATCTCATGGCAACTGATAAAAGTTTACATTAAAATGAAAACCAAAGCAGTTAAAGTCACTTGAAATTTTCTTTACAGATGACAAACAATGACGTCAAGTTCTTTAACAAGCAACTATGATACAATGAAGAGCTCTTTTGTTTCTCAATGAAACATACCTATTTGACAGGTAGCAAATGTTTCGCTGTCATATCGGATACTTCAATATTATTATTTACCGTCTCTAAATGTTTTTATTGGCAAAGGATCTGAAACTCTCGAGGAATTTCGAGAGAAAAAACGTCCACCAGTAAATTATTGTAGACAAACATCACGAGCCGTTTGTTGATTAAACTGAAATTCTGATGAGAACAAAAGATTAAAAAGTTAACCAGTGTTACGTCTCGTGAGAACATTTCTGTTTATTTCTTAATTCGGAACAATAGAAAAGGTAAACCAACACGTCAGCCAATTGGCAATCGAATTCAATATTTCCCGTACACATAATGCCTGATGCAGATGGCTGTCTACCAGGCTTGCTCAATAATGCACAAGGAAACATGAGAAGCAATATACAAACTTTCCCCTTGAGCGACAACCATTCTATCTTCAAGCCTTAAGATGCAATACATATGGTAATTTTTTCTTCCCAATTTTCTGGTATACGAATTTTCTGATGCAGTTGGCTGGCTACCAATTCACTCCAGATTCAATAATGCACAAGGAAATATATCAACTTTCCCCTTGAGAGACATTATGCACTATTTGGGCGATTACCTTTCAACCTTCCAAGCTTATGCGATAAGAATGTTACGTACGCATGAACTTTATTTCGTGATATTCTCCGAGCCTCCAGATAATGTAAGCTCTATAATCTCAAGCTTATGAACCATCTAAGTGAAGTGAGCTCGATCTCTTCCTTCGTCTTGAAAGTGTTGGAGAAATAATTTGTGATTATTATTGTCCTAGTGTTGCAGTGCAGCTAACGGAACACTTTAATGTGAAAACTGAATGAGATCCTTGGCTTTCTGGTCAGCCAGGAATCATTAATCTAAATCATTTATCTACA